GCAACAAGGAGCTCCTCGGTTTTTTAAACTTTAAGCGCGCAGTGTGCCCAACAAACCTCAACTGACAGTGACTTGTGGGCACACAAGGTCTCGACTCTTTGAATTAGTGACTTATAGCAACCAAGGTTCTGGAGCAAGTGGGTTCCACGAAGAATCAAACACAACGCGTTTGTCCTTTCCTTGTGGGCGTTCGTGTGGCTGCTCGGCACCTACCCTCTGGGACGTCCCCTCAGCGAGGGATGGCGGTTTATGTTCACCGTGTCCTTCTTTGCCCGCATCGGGTATTCGGCCGCCTGGATGTTCATCACCAATTTCACACATAGAAGCTTGCTTGTCAATGATCATGGTGTTTGATTTGTGAGGTCTGGAATCTGGATGTGCTAAGAAGTGAGAACCCGCAACCATGTCCTATCCTAAACTCTAAACCCTAACCCCTGGCCCAAAACAACAGTGTTGTTGCAAATGAGGCCTTCCTTGGAACGAGTTCCTCGCGCAGGACCCAGGACGCACCTGGCCGGTGCTGCACAACGTGATGGCGATGCTTGCCTTTTAGGAGATTAGGGGTTGCGGGTTGCAACAGATTAGGGGTAAGGGATTGGTAGGGAAATAATTCCCATATCCGAGGATGGTTCTTGGTGGAAAGCACCGCTGGAACGAGATGCTCTTCCATGACGCGCCAAGTCTGTCTTCAATTCTGCCACCCTAAACCCTCAACCCTAAACCCTGAGGTTTCAATTTCATGCCCCAAGGGACCACATCGCTTGGAATCGGTGACAGGGGAATCCGGGAACGAAGAACGGTTCTGAAAGGGTGGGGTTTATCATGGCATAACAGTAAATCCTAAGAACTGCGTTGGGGGAAGTGAAGAAACATACCGATACAGTGTACATGTAGATGAGAACGAGAAAGTGTATTAGAAGATGAGAGTAACAAATTCAAAGTACCAAACGACTTTTCTCCATTCAATCCATTCAAGTTATTCCAGACAAGATTTTGCTTCTAAAGAAGCAACAAGATGAAGATGTGTTGTGCTACAACGTAATCTGTATCCTGTAATCCTAGATCAACTGCAGCATTTCCAAGAAATCTTCCTGTAGAACCACCTATGGTAACCATTGATAAACAGACATGGATATATTGAGCTATACAAGGTTGGAACTTTTTTGCCAGACCTGTAACTGTATGTAAGTCTAACTGCCCATAGACCCTAAACCCTAAACCCCTCCTAAGCCTAGCGTCACCATCCGCCAAGGGCTTGGAGATCAGGTTCTGGAGGCTTTTCAGGCGCAACGCCAACTCCTTCAAGCTTTTTCTAAGTAACATGCAGAGCTCGGCCCCTTGGCCTTTACCTGCCTGCGGGTAAAATGAGCCCTTAAAAAAATCTCCTAAGCCTTGAACCAAGTGGAGCATTTTGGCAAGGCAGCTCGATACCGAAGCACGAGAGCAAGGTTAGTTTAGGGTTTAGGGTTTAGGTTAGGGTTTAGGGTTTAGGGAGGTGAATCCCAAAACCCCAAAGACCTAAACCCTAAACAAATGAGCAGGGGTTCATCTCTTGGAGCTTGTATAAGAAAAGCTATAGTTATAGTATATTAGCGGTATAGGGTGTAGGGCAGGCTTGAGGGTGTAGGATTTAGGATAGGGTTTTGGGGTGAGCTTTAGGGTTAAGGGTGTAGGGTAGGGCTTAGGATTTGGGCTGTAGGCCTGCGAAGGGCAGGCTCTTGCTCATCGGGTCGGATCCGACAGGGTTTAGGGGTTTAGGGTTTAGGGGTTTAGGGTTTAGGGGTTTAGGGTTTAGGGTTTAGGGACTCTGAATTCGAGGGTTCCCGACCAGCTACATTATACTATTGTTGATACCAAGAAGCTTGCATATCCTTGGAAGGCTATGATATCATAATTCCCAGGGTATGAGGTGCTTAGGGTCATGCAGGAGTTTTAGTATACAACTGTTGATACTAAACACCTTGCATGACCATGGTATACTATAGCACCATAATTCCCAAAGTATAAAGTACTTGGGGCCATGCAGGAATTTCAGTATCCACCGTGCCACACCTAGGTGCCCCCTTAATTAGGGTATTTACGCGGTTTAGGGTTTAGGGTCTAGGGATATTTGGTGACATAATAGTTCTAGATTCGCTGTATTACTATGGTCTGAGATTACCTCACGAAGGCCTCAAAATGATATTGGTAAATATTCAGGCTTCTCTATGAGATTAGCCTCCCCTCCCCGGTTCGGTTTCCCCTTTCCCTGCCTTGCTGTATTAACCCAAGTCAGTTTGCCGCAGTGTAGCCGACAAAAGCTCAGGTGCATCATGCCTTTCCTAATGCTGTCGGCACGCTGAGCCAGCGTGGACGCTTCCACGGCTGGGAGAAGGTCCACGATGCGGCGGCTGAGGTGCTTCACCGCGGGCTGTGGAAGCCAAATGGTGATGAGGAAAGGGTTTCAGGGCTTCAAACCAAGCATGTCACGCATTGTGATTTATTTCATGAATGTTATGCCGAAGTTATGCCCACGGTTTCATCTCGTCATCAGCCTGTGCAGGAGACCCAGATGCAGAAGACTCAGCGCAAGCGCTCCCTGATGATGAAGCAGGGCAAGTGAGAAGAGACCCGGGGACATTTGTCTTCGCGCCAGGCAGAACTTCCATGATGCAAGGGCATATTTCCTGTGCAGGATTCCGATTATTGATCTTTTCCAGGTACCAGTCACAACAGCTACAAGTTTCTAAGAAATTCCGTTTTGACATCCATCCCCCGTCATTGCCCTTGCAGCGATCTCTACGTAGCTTGCATCAAACGTTTGCCCCTGGAACTGTCAGTCACGTCAGCTCCGCGGACAGACCATGCCGGCCGCAGACCGCAGGGATTGCAGAAAAAAATGGGAAAAATGGAAACTATTATAGGGATTATATAGGCGGTTAGTGTAGGGATTATGTAGGGATAAAAGAAAAGACAATGGAAATTACTATAGGGATTATATAGGCGGTTAGTATAGGGATTGTATAAGGATAATGGAAAAGAAAATGGAAACTACTGTGGGGTTCTCAAAGCTAGGGTCGCAGATGTATGCTGGCATATTCTTACTTTTGCTGCAATTGGAATGTGTTAGTACCAGGTCTGCAGTGTCATGCAGGCTTTAGTCCATCCACCACAAAGAGCGTGTCGGATGAGGATACGTTGAGGGCACCTTGCACTAGCTGTGAGAAACATCCAAATCGCTTTAGTCCGCTTAGCACCTAGCCGGCAGCAAGTTCTTTTGTGAGCTGTGGTGAGAGCGAAAGGCTCTTTGCGGGCGAATGCGTGGTGTACTACACGACAAGCTCTTACTTCCACGCCGCTGTCCAGGGATATACCTTCGGAACCCTGCTGGTCATGTATCAGACTTTTCTACGTTAAATTGGCCGGCCATCCGCAATCAGGTGCTGCTAAGAAATCGTAGAGTTGACCGTCAAGAGTTTCGTACGAATTTCCGTAGTTATTGGTGGCTCGCAGAAACACTCCAAACGGAGTTGTGATTTTCCCGTGCCCCGCAAGCACGCGGCATGGCCAAAAACGCGCCTTTGTTGGGCGATGCCAAGACGCTTGCTTGCAGGCAGGATATGGCAGGAGCCTTTGAGGCAACAGTTACAAGGTAGCCGCAAGCGACATATCTACACGTTAATGAAATCTATGTGTTTTCTACCGTGGGGAAAGTTGGTGAGCTCATCATCTCATCGAGGTCTGTATTTGGTACCGTTTTGCCTCGACATATTGAATTGTCAAGCGTGCACAGTGCAGAGAACCAACAGAAGAGATTGCCTCTCATGATGGATGCGTTGGCAGGGAGACAACATGTTGTTCAGGATCGCTTATGCTTTGGATGCCCCTGCTGTGAAGGCATGGATTCTGCTTGTCACACAGACATGGTTTAAAGTGCAATCATAAGGCCATCACTGAAGGCACCCATGCCACAATGACAGTTCTGAGCTGTGCAAACGTGTGTTTCTGACACTGTTAGCTCCTATAAGCCCATCTCCAACCTTAGCGATGTCCAAGCTCGCTCTGACTAAGGAAGGGCCACACCAAAGCATCCATCTTTTACGGTGCGGATGAGTACCTGGAGGAGCTCCTCGTCACCTCTTCCAAGTGAGGGGTTATATTCAGACCCTTGGAACATTTCCCCGTGAGTTCCCGCACTTTGGGCAGAAATCTTGGAGTCCTTCACCTTTTCAAACTTTCGCTTAGCAGGCCTGGGCAAACCCTGACCTAAGAGGAAACTCGCCCTAAAGCCTCCGAGGCTCAAGAAGAAGTACGAACGAGATCACGAGATCGCCGCACTGAAGAACGCTCTGCCAGGCAAGGCACGACGTTCTTTTTCAGAAGTTTCTCAAGATGAAGCATCCGTGGGCGCGATTGCAGTGGCGAGTTTGCGACAGGTATGTAGGGTAGCCTGATTTGAGAGATGCCTGCTCTTATGCAATCGTTAAATCCATCATTTTTCTAGGCGACGCTAATACGAGGAACTGTCTTCAGACGGTCTTCATCTGATTGTGGGT